CCAGGGCAGTATGTAGACAAATTCATGGGTATGCATTCCTTTGATATATGTTGCCGCCATGAACTGCTTACTCATATTAAGTATCGAAGAGAAGACGCAAACAATTACTGAAATTATTTTATTCGCTATAATACGAGGAAATTTTGAAGATTGAACAAATACCAGGACTGTTAGCAGCAGGCTGGACCACTGGTCAACGCAACTGGACAAATTGCCAGTCGCAGAGTTGATGAATACATAATTAATTGCAGCTGACCCAAAATTTTTAAATATGATATGTGTTGAAGGCAATTACATGGAAATTTTAAGCGAAAGTTATGAGGAAGTCATTTTAAGCGAAAACCAAAAAAGTCACAAGGATTAATTTGTATGCCTAAATGGACCTGCTTAAAAAAGAGCTGATTAGAGAAACATTAGGCTGCATCAATAGCGAGAAGAAACACGGCACTGGAAGTACCAAAGCGGGTATACCATAACTGTTTTTTGGAGCTTGCATGCGATCTATAGATTTCCTGTAACGAATTTACCTCGAGCATTGTTGCGAAGTTCATCCAGGAAACCGCTAGCAATAACTTCTTCGGTGGTAGCACTAATATCAAACATAACTTTCCTCAGCACTTGTATCCGTCGTCGTTTGAAGACTTCCTCGAATGCCTGAGTGCGGTCAAATGCTAACACACCAGCATTTGTCGCTATTGCTACCTGTAAAACTGGGATTGGCAGGGTTTCAGAAAAAGAAGCCAGAGCATAAGAAAGGAGAGTATAAGCCAGAAGGTAAGAAAGGAGGGAGCACATCAAAACTGAGTGACTTCGAAGTGGCCTAAGTACTGTTAGTTTGGAGCAAGGCACACAAATCATACTAATAAATCTTTAACTTCCCTTAGTGGCAAAACTGGAAGTTAACTGCGGAAGTAGAATACATTTCGCCCTCCTTTTAAGTGTCCCTCATTTAAAACGTGGTACTAATGCGGTCGCTAATCAATGAAAAAGACCTGACCTAAAATTTGTTCAAAGTGCTTTTTCACAAAATTATCCAGAAAAGTACGCCTACTCCTAGCTGTAATTCACTACAAAGCAATCCTAAGAAATATGTTTCATTTAAAAATTATTATAAAAATTTTTGCAGCCAATCCTTCTCTTCCTCTTTTCAGAAAAAAACAAGTTTGAGACTTTCGTAAGCGACGATATCCTAGAAACTGACCTTTGTCCAGTTGTAATGAGCCAGAACAGCGGCAGCAGCTTCGGCCATTGAATTGACATTGGTGGAGGATATTCGAGCCAAAGTGCGATAGACTGTTTTATCACCCATATTACTGGTTGCTGCTGTATACGAGATGACTGGAATATTCCAGTGTGTGGCCATTTTTGCCACAGCATCCAACTCTGCAACAGAGAACAGCCTAAGTGATCGACTCAGATCTTGGAAAAATTTTAAAAGGTATCAATAAAAAGCATTGAGGAATAAGTTGGGAGGAATAAGTTTCGAAAACCAAGCAAGATAGAGTAAAATTTTTAAAACATGGTATAATATAGTGAGGTGAGATGGGATGAGATGAAGTCACTGTGATGGAAGAAGTACTGACTTGTTCCGGAATCTAAGCGCTAAATTCAAAAGTACTTTGTAGACCGTAGCTGAGCTGTGTTGTTTTCGACCATCGGTGTCCTACCATATATGCCTATTAGTAGATAGTCCGAGATTGCACACCTTTTTAGATAAACTAACTTT